AGCCTGTCCAGATCTCGCTGGATGGCAGCAGCCATGGTTCCTTGATGTGTTCCTACAGAAATTATTTCCTTGTACTTAAAGCCCCAGAAAAGTCAGCGTTGTTTCCATCTCAGTTCTCTGCCCACTGAGTCATATATTGCGGCTTGTTAGCATGGGCTTCTTGTGACACCTCATAGCCTAGCCAGATCCTGGCAGCCCTTCACTGTCTCTGCTCCAACAGCCAGAAACCCGCTCACCAAACACTTCAATTTCAGGGAGCACCAGAGGTCTTCCCTGAGTACCTCCTGTCCATTTTCATAGCAGAGGAAAAGCTCATATGTCCCAAAGACCAGCCTGGCTGTGATAGCACCAGCACTAGCCCCTAGGACATCTATATGCACCACCAACAAATCACTGTAGGTCACTGGGAGACGTTTTGTGGCATTTGGAGAACACTGAGAGGTAAAGGAAAGTTGTGTAAGGGATAAGGCTGAGAGGGAAGGGTCATGGCTGAGAGCTTTCCATTGCCTTTCCTGTCAGCACCCTTCCTCCTCCCCAACAAGCCCATTGCATCCTGGATCTGGTGAGTCTCAACTCTCTTGCTTTCCTCACCGACCAGTGAGTGCCACTCAGTGTGGGACACAGTGAGCCCAACAGCCCACTGCTTGCGAGCTCTTTGACTTTGTCCTTGCAATAACTTCATGATACAGAAGCTGACCTCAAGATCGCCCCAGTCCTGGCAGAGGCGGTAACAACCTTTTTCTACCCCTTTTCCCCTCTCCCAGACCACAGAAAGATCTGTCTGACTCCACTTCTTGCTTCCAGTGGCCTTCACCAGCCAGACCAACATTTCAGTACACACCCACTGGGGTCCAACCTGTCAGCTAACATGTCCTGACATATCTCCTCTGGGATGTGACCACATTTCCTCCCCCTCCATACCTTCTCCACTCACCCAGCCCCTTACCTGAGGTTGGTGTCATGGGGGCAGCAGCCAGGCCGTTCATGTTCAGAGCTGCCATCTGTTGCATCTGGGCTGCAGCAAAGGCTGCCATGGGGTTCAGGTACCCGCCCTGCGCCACCGAAGCCATGATCGCAGCTTGCTGCTGCATCAGCTGGAACAAAGAGAGCAGGGAAAAAATATCATGCAGTCACCGGCATGCAGCCCGCGGCACTGTCACCAGGATGGGGACCCAGTGAGGCATCCCTCTGTTTTGAGATGCCAGTGCACCACACCTGTGGTACCCCCAGCCTTGGCTTTCCTTGTTATAGGAGCTGGATACAAAGTGCACCTTTGCATCTTGGGGTCTTTATGGTCCCCACCTCCTATGATGTGTTCCCCAATGGGGAGGTCTCCCTTAAGTTGGACTCACGCCTCTGTCTCCCTGGCCCTTTCCTGATGTGAAAGGCAGAGAAAAGGGTTTATATGTTCCTGAGCAGGGAGGTTTCATAGCTTACATTTCTTGTATCAAACTGGGAAAGCACTGGTGGCTGCTGATGGGCAACCAGTATATGTGGAGTGAGAGGGAGAGGGGATCCCATCTGCAGAGAAGCAAGCTCAGCTAGTTCTCTGGGCATAACCTGATTTGTTTTAATCTGCCAGTGAAAAAAATCAGTTCTTCTTACGCTGCCGAGACGTCTTTGGTGGACACAGAGCAAATCCATGACCAAATCTTCTAACCAGATTACAGCACCTATTTCTAAGACTCCCAGAAGAGCTACACAAGAGATGGGATCTCCCCTACTTCAGGAAGATTAATACTATGCAGTGGGAAAAACCTTTCCCTGTGGTTTTGATCTGGGATGACTTCCTTAATTTTATTTACTTTCCAGAAAGTGATAAAAATGCTGTTGCTTTTAAGTGGACCTACAACAGGCAGAAATTAGGAACCCAGACTATATTTCCAGGCATTTGAAGGTAAAAAATTTGGAGCAGAAGGGTGATGAATGGTTATGCATGCCCGAGATGCTTTTTACATTAAAACCAGACTTAGCTATCATCAGCCTTTGCTGTCATTATTTTACACTGAACACAGCTCACAGCCATTGCAGTGTGGCTGCAGTGGGCTTGTAAAATGCTCCTGCTGTGAAGGAGAAGGTAGCTTGGATGGAGCTGCCTCTTGTTCCCTTCCCTGGACCTGTACGAAGAGCCAGATGTTGTTCATCAGAGTCCGCATCCAGTCCCCACTACTGACCAGTGATGGATGCTGATGTGAGGGAAAGA